ATGCCAGCTGACTGTGTACAAAACTGGTATGGGTAATACATTTGGGGCGAAAGTATTCAAAAATCAGTTTTTGGATGTTGCAATGGCAGTGGTGGGCCAGGATTTTTTTCTCAATTAGTGACGGCACGACCTACATGTGAAGTATGAACAAAATGAGCCGAGCCATTGCTGGTGAAAAGTTACCCCAACTTTGGGGTCAAATTTCTCGGTAATGAAAACAGATATCAAAAATTCAAATGGTAACTTTGTGCCCACACTCAAGCTGAGTAGAATGAGCTATGTCTGAAGTGTTTTATCCCAAATTTGTAGGAGGAGATACATTTGGCGCGAAGCTATCCAAAAATCAGTTTTTTGGCTGTTGCTATGGCAACGGTGGTCCAAAAATTTTTTTCAGATTCTCCTTATAACTAGGGTTAATGTGTGACCTACCTGCCAAGTTTGAACGAAATCGGCCAAGCCAAAAAAGTCACAGAAGACATAATACATGAACACTGGAACACTGGAAATGTACACACACAGACACACACACACACAAAACGACAAAAGTGATTATAAGGGCAATCCTAGCGGAGCGAATCGCCAATAACTTTATTACGCAACTTAATCATCTGTGGGTTTAGTAAGATAAAAAATGATTACAAAAGACAAATAAGACAACTAAAACACTAAAATTAAAATACACTGAAATTCAACAAAAGAAAGAAAGAAAATTTATAAAATCTCTGAAAAATTGATTAAACAGCAGCAAGGTTCTCCCAGGCCGCAGGTTATTAAAAGTAATAAAGGTCAGTACATGGACGCATCGACCTCTGCTATACGTTGGCCGATACTGTCTTTGTGCATACTTTTCGATATCCTCGTAACCGCATATTAACCTTGAACAGAATGTTACCCACTATATTGATCTACTTTCTCATAACTCTCTAAGAAAATTTTCTACGATAACTTTCACTGACACAGTAGACTTGAAAAATATAGTTTCTTTGCTTTTTGGTATTTTTACAATAAAATATAGAAAAGTTTATTACTGTAAAATACAAGTTACATACAATCAAGGAAAGAAACCTGGCCGTTGAAGTGCATATACGGTTAGGTAAATGACCTGTTACAAGGTAAACCTAAATGATTCAGTGTTACTTAATCTCCATGAATGCAATGAAGTAGGTGATGAGAAACATTACATTTTATATTGTAATAATTGTCAAATCAAAGAACAAAGATCTAGATTCTTTGCAGCTCCAAAGTTGGAAGATTTTAGCATGGATGAATTATTTCTTATTATTAATTGTTTCAAGTAATGATTCTTTCATTCTTAGCATTTTTGCAAAATTTATTTTCTATATTCTTGATATGTTTTTAGTACTGTAAGTTTTGTTGTCCTGAATGTTGTTTTATTTGTTTTGTTGTTGTTATTATTGGACATTACTCAAGATTTCATTGGTATGTTCCAAATAAAATTCTATTACTATAACTACTACTACTTAAAGCGAGGGAGTCGTCACCTGCGCACGCTTCAGGTGGCCATAGCGTGTCATTGTTTACAAACAAGCGTCTACCCATGAGACTTTGTGCCTTTAGCGTGTGTTGTTATCGTCGCATGGGACTCAATTTCCATGTGTGCACAGGTGACGGCACTTATTTGACAAACATGAGCTGCTAATAGAGAAAATATAACCAAATTTTCACAAATTGAAGCATGGCTGCCTTGGTATAGTACATACCCTACATCCTAAGCCACGACAAATAAATATTTATTCTTACTTTCCAGGTGTACATTCAAAGAAGTTCTGGATGTGATCACATGACCTGCTCTCGATGTAAAACTGAGTTTTGTTACCGCTGTGGACAACAGTTCCGTAGTCTCAAGTTCATAGGAGATCATTATTCTCGTCTTAGTGTGTTTGGATGTAAATATCGTTTCAAACCTGATAACCCCGTACAACGACGAATGATCCGAGGTGCTGTACTTGGTAAGTTACAACATTGCCCTAAAATAATATTTTTATTTCACAGTCAGTTTGGTATTTCTTTATTTATTATTTATCATTTATCAAACTTGTTTCATCAGAGGCACATCACCAATATGTTACATGCGCATAAACAAAATATTGCATTCATTGTAAACTATATTATTCAAATTTATATAATATGTATTCTTTACATAGACACTTTTGTTTTATTAACATTTACGTATTTTGACCATAGACACCTTTGTTTTATTAAAATTTACGTATTTTGTCTATAGACACCTTTGTTTTATTAAAATTTACGTATTTTGACCATAGGCACTTTTGTTTTATTAAAATTTACGTATTTTGACCATGGACACCTTTGTTTTATTAAAATTTACATATTTTGACCATAGACACCTTTGTTTTATTAAAATTTACGTATTTTGACCGTAGACACCTTTATTTTATTAAGATTTACGTATTTTGACCATAGACACCTTTGTTTTATTAAAATTTACGTATTTTGACCGTAGACACCTTTATTTTATTAAGATTTACGTATTTTAAAGTATTTGGACGATATACATCTTTACATTTATATGCAAGTACATGCATTACTAATAGAGCTAATACATAGATGATGTTTATATTTTGCTGTAATAGTTGCATCACTGAATTTATGTTGAACTTGTATGCACTTTGCAAAATATGGCATATCCGATAATCCATGGGTGCAAAATTCTCAAAATTTTTTTGTAATCTGCTTGGCTACAAGTTTTAAAAGCTAATAGTGTCACAGTAATATTGTGTAGTCTATCGGGTTTAGTCTAGGCATTGGAAGTTTATGCAAAAAGGGGTAATAGAAATAATAAATACCATTTCAACTTATATATGTTTTAAAAAACAAAGTATTCATATATTGTAAATTTCTAGTACTAGTATGTAGTTCAGTTATTGTAATATATAGGAAAAAAATGTATTTTCACTGGATTTTATTTTTACTGAATCATCCCTTCAAGCGTAAATAAATTATTTTACATTAGACTGGGAAATGGTAGCCATGGGTGCTACAAAATTTGGTAGCCATGGGATGTTAATTTGGTAGCCATGGGATGTTGATTTCGTGATAAATACAAGTTCATGTTCAGATTAGGTCAAAACTATCATGTCTCTCTGCTCTCACCTAAATATCAAACATGTGTGAATCAATACTGTTAGAAATGTACTGGTACATCTTAGGAAGAGAATGAAATTAAAAATTCAAGTTGCTTTTTTATTAAGTATTAGAAAATAAAAGAACTAGTGTATTAGCCATCTACTGTACCTGCCAATTTAACAGACATTTAATTATTTTTTTTCAATTTTATCTTTAGTTTTTTGACAATTTTGCTGAATACTGAAAATTCTTTTTGGGTATTATGTATGGAATTTATTTTCACTGATTTTTGACAAGTTGAATGTAAAATATAGGAAAAAAGATACATTCACTGGATTTTATTTTCACTGAATCTTACCTTCAGCGAATATAGCGAAAATTAATTCCAAGTGAAAATAAAGTATTTTACAGTATGCAATATTTATGTTAAACAATGCCCATTGCAAAAGATGGTCCTTCTGCGATGTTTCAGCACCTGAGAATGTTTTAGTGCCTAAAAAACAAATACCAAAAAATTAACCCGGTAATAATTATTTCAAGACTATGAATTATTAATAATAAGATACAAATCTGCCTATTGGCAGGCTTAGCGAGGATTTAACAACAAAACGACAGTGTCATTTCATGCAGAAAGTATGCATATCAGACAAAAAATATCCAAGTTATGCCAACGATGGACATGCAAAAAACTAGGTACTGGTACACTTATTCTCGTTCGAAAAATACATAATGCAAGTTTATTTTTAGACAAATTTAGACACAATTCATAATTAGCAACTGAGAGCTTAGTCGATCTGGCTAGCTTGTGCTAACAGAGTTAAGCGGCTATCCAATCAAAGCCTTGAATTAAAGCATTTGGTCAATCATAACATCCATATATGGTAACGTTTAATTAACTTTCAACCTTTCAACAACATGGTACCAAAGTTTTTCAAACTGTCAGAGCAATGCTTTCTAATTCTATCCAGGTTGACTGCGAAAATGTTTCAAACTTAATGTATTAATTGCTTTAAAGGTCTTTATTTTTGGCCACATGCCTGTTTATAGCCACAGCATGTGTAAAAAGATTCAAAAGTTTTGTTTTGTTGAAATTGTCACTGGTACGATGTGTTGAAGATGTGACACAGACACCAAAGGATATCCCATTTACGACACATTATTTTTAAAAAATTCGCTTGACAATAATGGTTTCTGTGCTATATTTTGCAAAGAAAGTTAGAGCATAAATTAAAAGGATCTAAATTCAACTCTTTGTTTGAACACTGCGAATTAAAGAGTCTTTACGGTACCATGTGTGGATTGATCGATTGTAGATTGATGAGAAAGTATGTCTGTGTTGATGCCAGATGTACACGGACGTGAAAACAGTTGATTGTACAAACAATATTGCTAATAGGCAATATTTTTGTTTTGGTGATCTCTCAATTTATCGCCCATTATGCAAAACATTGGCCATTATGCAAAACATTGTTCATTATGCAAAACATTGGCCATTATGCAAAACATCGGCCATTATGCAAAACATCGCCAATTATGCAAAACATCGCCCATTATGCAAAACATCGCCCATTATGCAAAACATTGCCCATTATGCAAAACATCGGCCATTATGCAAAACATCGGCCATTATGCAAAACATCGCCAATTATGCAAAACATCGCCCATTATGCAAAACATCGCCCATTATGCAAAACATAGGCCATTATACAAAACATTGCCCTTTATGCAAAACATTGGCCATTATGCAAAACATCGGCCACTATGCAAAACATCGCCAATTATGCAAAACATCGCCCATTATGCAAAACATCGCCCATTATGCAAAACATCGCCAATTATGCAAAACATCGCCCATTATGCAAAACATCACCCGTTATGCAAAATATTGCCATTATGCAAAATATTGCCCATTATGCAAAACATCGGCCATTATGCAAAACATCGGCCATTATGCAAAATATTGCCCATTATGCAAAATATCGTTCAAAGTCATCCTTTTAGCATATTTTTGACAGCCACTTTTAAATTCCAGGCTGATACTCTGCAAAAGTATGTCTCACATGATGATGTATGTGATGACAAGCATAATTAATTAAGACATATTAATTATTATTTGAAATAAATCTTTCATTCTAGGCTCGTCATCATCATGCCATTTAATGGCACTTGTTTGAGACATTGGCAACACGAGATTCCAAATGATTTAGATAGTCACTGAATTTTTTTGTTATTTTTTTAAAATGTCTTAAATTTTGTTTAATTTTTTCAGACGAAGGGCTAGAGTTTTCACTTAAATTTACTGTTTTACCACTAAAATATAGAAAAATAATTAGAAAAGTCTCATGACGCTATAGTTGCCATTTTGTGCTAAATGTACTCAGCCACATATTAGAAATTCACCTGTTCATGAGGGGCAGGCAATTTCTAGTCTTGAAATCTGCCTGTATCTGGAACAGATGGACATGCCCTCGTCATCTACATACAGCATGTCACTTATACACATTCATCTGGCTCACTGGCAGCCATCTTAGTTTATAAATCTCAAATTATGTGTTTCTTCCCTTCTTTCTTAAGCTTAATTCCTTCTGTCATTTTCCATAGTGATGAGTTCATGAAAATATAATTTATGACTAATACTTGGGGCAGAAGTTAGGTATTTTATATTTGTATGATATGTAAAAAAGAACAATAAATGCAAGATTACATTACATTACTCCATTCTCTATACAGGCAGAATTATTATCACTTGCTCCAGCTGGAAGCAATAATTTCCAAACTCTTTATAATATAATTACTATTACCATTGCTGCTCCTTCCTTTTTCTCAGGTGTACACTTACTTGCTGCTCCAGTGTTTCTGGCACAAGCAACAGTTGGCTTAGGGCTTGCACTTGCCGTAGGTTGTGTCATTCTGCCTTTTTATGGCGGTATGAAATTGCACAGAAAACTTAAAGGAAAGAAAAATGTACAAGACAAAAAAAGCAAGACAAAAAAGTGCAAGAGTGATGTAATAATTATGTAATGGTGCTATGAAAAATACACAATTTTATTCTGTGGAATGAAATTACAATTCAGATTCATGGGCATTTGAGTATAATAATATTCAGATTCATGGACATTTGAGTGTAATAATATTCAGATTCATGGGCATTTGAGTATAATAATATTCAGATTCATTGACATTTGAGTGTAATAATATTCAGATTCATGAGCACATGAAGATGATTTTTTTGCTGATTCATTGGTGCTTGAATTTAATGAAGTTTATTGTTTATTGGTACTAGCCTATTAGCTTAGAATAGTTAAATAGGTATTATTTGTGTATAGTATATGATAGTTGATGGCATTATTATGTTCTATAATGACATTCTATGTTGATTAGTGTAAGGTAGTAGGTATTATTAATGTTATGTGATAGTTGATGACTTTAGTTAGTAGTTAATGACATTAATTAGTAGTTAATAACATAATTTCTATATTGCATTATAGATTAGTATGTCAAACCTGGACGTATTATTATTAATGGCTCTATTTTATGGTGATGTCTTTATTAGGTTTTGATTGCCATATATTGTGATACATGGTGTCATTATTCATAAATTGAAAGTGCTATATTGTGTTTAATGACATTATGTACATGCAGTATATTTAGTAGTCTAATTGTATTGTTGAGTATATCATGCCATTATTAGATAATGCCATTATTTGTAGCTGATCTCTACAATATTATCAGTTGATGTCATTACTCTTCATATTGTTTAATAATTAAATTAATAATTAATAAGAATAAAATGTTATTGCATTATAAAACCCAAGTGGGTTATATACATGTATACTACGACAATAACTTGATGTTAGATAGC